GGTGGTCCTGCAGGTTCTCGCCGACCCCGGGCAGGGCGTGGCGCGGGGCGATGCCGTGGGCCGCCAGCAGCTCGGGCCGGCCGATGCCGGAGAGCTCGAGGAGCTGCGGGCTGCCGATGGCGCCGGCGGCCAGGATCACCTCGCCCGCCGCTGCGGCCTCGGCCGGTGCGCCGGCGTGGCGGAAAGCCAGGCCGGTGACCCGCTTGCCGTCCAGAATCAGTGCCTCGGCCTGGGCCTGGGTCAGCAGGGTCAGGTTGGGGCGCCGCAGGGCGGGCTTCAGGAAGCCGGTGGCGGTGGACCAGCGCAGGCCGCGCCGCTGGTTGACCTGGAACAGGCCGACACCCTCGTTATCGCCGCGGTTGAAGTCGTCGCTGCGCGGGATGCCGACCCGCTCGGCCGCTTCGGCGAAGGCCTCCAGAATCTCCCAGGACAGGCGCTGGCGCTCGACCCGCCACTCGCCGCCGGCGCCGTGGTGCGCGCTCTCGCCCTGGAAATGGTCCTCCGAGCGCCGGAAGTAGGGCAGCACGTCGTCCCAGGCCCAGCCGACATTGCCCCGCTGGCGCCAGCCGTCGTAGTCGGCCGCCTGGCCGCGCAGATAGAGCATGCCGTTGATCGAGGAGCAGCCGCCCAGCACCTTGCCGCGCGGATAGTTGAGCGCGCGCCCGTTGAGGCCGGGCTCGGGCTCGGTCTTGAAGCCCCAGTCGGCGCGCGGGTTGCCCATGCAGTAGAGGTAGCCGATCGGGATCTTGAACCAGATCCAGTCGTCCGTGCCGCCGGCCTCCAGCAGCAGCACCCGCACCTCGGGGTCGGCCGACAGGCGGTTGGCCAGCACGCAGCCGGCCGAGCCGGCGCCCACGATGATGTAGTCGAACTGGCCGAGGTGGCGGCGGCCCGTGGCGGCGGGCGATCCGGTGGACGACGCGGCGGGCGAGGGGGGCGCCGGGTCGGGAGCGGTCGAGGAGGGCGGCATCTCGCGGGGAATCCTTCCTGGGCGGCCTTCTGCCGGGCCTGCTGGGGCGGTCTCGTCGGCGGGCGGCCGCTGGGCGCGGCGACCCGTCCGGCTGGCAGACTGCCCCAGGCGGCCCGCCCAGGGGAAGGCCCCGCCGGCCGGGGGGCGCCGGCCCGGGGGGTGTTGCCGGCCTGGGGCCGTGCCGGTGGGCTGGGCTTCACCTTTCGGCAAGGCTTGGGCTCTAGGATCGCGCCCGCGTGCCACCCGTTGCCCGAAGAGGGGCCCTGTTCATGACCCACTTCCTCAGTTCCGATCTCAACCCCGAGGGCTACAAGCTCGAGGACATCCTCGCCGCCCTTGCCAAGGACGTGCTCTACCGGGCGGAGAAGATCGCCGACGACCATCGCCCCGAGGCCCGGCGCGTGCTGGACAACAACATCAAGATCCTGAGCCTGCTGGCCGAGGCGCGCCGCCTGGCCGAGGACTCCACCCACACGCTCGACAAGGCCTTCGGGCCCAGCCGCGCCGCCCAGGGCGGCGCCCCGCGCATCGGCGTCGCGGAGTAGCCGCCGCGTCGTCGTCGAACGCCCAGAGGTGCATGTCGGACCCCTTCGTTCGCTGCCGACGCGGCTACACCCCCAGATAGCGTTCCTGCAAGGCCCGGTCGGCGGCCAGCTCGGCGGAGCCGCCGGTCCAGGCGACCCGACCCTTCTCGATCACCGTGTGGCGGTCGGCCAGGGGCAGCAGGGCGTCCAGGTTCTTGTCGATCACCAGGATCGCCTGGCCGGCGCGCTTGAGCTCGCCCAGGACCCGCCAGATCTCCTCGCGGATCAGCGGCGCCAGGCCCTCGGTCGCCTCGTCCAGGATCAGCAGTCTGGGGTTGGTCATCAGCGCCCGGCCGATCGCCAGCATNNTGCTCGCCGCCGGAAAGCTGGGTGCCCAGGGCGCTGCGCCGCTCGGCCAGCACGGGAAAGAGGCCGCGCACGCGCGCCAGGCTCCAGGGGCCGGGGCGGGCGGTGGCGACCAGGTTCTCCTCCACCGTCAGGTTGGGGAAGATCTGCCGGCCCTCGGGCACCAGGCCCAGGCCGGCGCGCGCGGCGCGGTGCGGCGGCAGGCCGACCAGCTCGGCGCCGTCGAAGCGGATCGAGCCGCCGGTGGGCCGCAGCAACCCCATCAGGCAGCGCACCGTGGTGGTCTTGCCCATGCCGTTGCGGCCCAGCAGGGTGGCGACCTCGCCGGCGGCGACCTCGAGCTCAAGGCCGAAGAGCACGCGGCTGCGGCCGTAGGCGGCGGTCAGGTCGCGCACCTGCAGCATCAGCCGCCGGCCCCCGTGCCCGAGGTCTCCGCGGCGTGCGACTCGCCCAGGTAGGCGCGGCGCACCTGCGGGTCGGTGCGGATCTCGGCCGGCGCGCCGGTGGCGATGGGGCGGCCGTAGACCAGCACCGTCAGGCTGTCGGCCAGGGCGAAGACCGCGTCCATGTCGTGCT